GATGAGTCAAGCCCGTATCATAAGTCCAATTTGCTGACTCGGTTGACCCATTAAATAGAATACATCAAATTTTTTCGTTGGCCAAACTTTGTGTGTCGATAAAATGGAAAATATATTTCAAACGAAAATTAATTTTTAAATGGAAACTAAATGAGAGATAGAAATTATATTTTAAACGAAAACTAAATGAGAAACAAAAATTGTATTCAAATCAAAAATTAAATGAAAAATAGAAACATTTATCAGAAAGTCAAGCCCATATCATAAGTCCAATTTTTTGACTCGACTAACTCATTAATTAGGATACATCAATTTGTTCGTTAGTCAAACTTTGTGTTTCGATAAAACGGAAACTATATTTCAAACAAAAATTAATTTTCAAATAGAAACTAAGTGAGAAACTGAAATTATATTTCAAACGAAAATAAATTGAGAAACGAAAACTAAATGAAAATGGAAATTATAAGCAAATCAAAAATTAAATGAAAAATAAAAATATCAATATCAAGAGTCAAGGCCATATCATAAGCCCAATTTTCTGGCTCGGCTGACCCAATAAATAAGAAACATCAATATGATCTATGGCCAAACTTTGTGTTTTGGTAGAACGGAAACTATACTTCAAACAAAAATTAATTTTCAAACAAAAAATAAATTAATGAGAAATGAAAATTATATGCAAATCGAAAAATTAAATGAAAAATAGAAACATTCATCTCACAAGTCAAGCCCATATCATAACTCCAATTTGCTGACTCGGTTGACTCATTAAATAAGATACATCAATTTGTTCGTTGGCCAAACTTTGTGTTTCGAAAAGGAGAGAGAATTATTTTGATACCATGTAAACAATTTGCGGCGGTGCGACGGTGGTGATGGGCAGCGGCGCGGCGGCGACGGCAATGGGTAGCGGGACGACTATGTGTAGAGAGTATAGAGAGAAGGGGGAGAGAGAGAAAGGGAGAGAGAAGGGGCTATAAAATCTTTCCATGGTATCAGAGCTTCCATGACTGATTACAAGATCACCAGTTCGATCCTCACTGTCCCACACTTTCTGTAAAATTCAATAAGCACAAGGTAAACCAAAAATTGGACATGTGCAATGGCCACGCTTCAAGCCCAAAGGGCTCTTGCGTGAGAGATATGTTAGAGAATAATATAAACCATTTAAATGTTGGAATTTGTATACAAATCCTATGGGTTATGAATAAGAAGTGGGTTGAGGAAGAAAAGAAAATAGGAAAGTTGAAGTGGTGTGTGTGGATTTTAAGAAGTCCTACATTGGACAACTAATAAGAGGTGAGAAGGTATATAAACTCCCACCTCAGACTCCTAAGTTGCCCCTTGGGGCACTACAATTTTGTGGAGAGGAAAGGAGCTAGGTGGCCTTTGGTCCACCACACACGCGCGCCGCCGGCTCGGTTCGTACGTGCCTATCCGTTGCTTCCCTCCAGATTCTTCAATCCAAAAGTTTCTTCCTGCGATTTTTTGAACCGAACCGGTTCTTACTTTTTGGTTCGAACCGACATCGGCGGTGGTTCATTGTGACCGGTCGATGTCTATATATAAACCATGATCCCTTCAGAAATTTTATCCGATTTTCTGCACTGTTACTTTGCCAAAAATTTTCCTCCATCCAGCTTCGCATGCTTCCTTCCATTTTTTCCGATGCAATTCCTCTGGCATCTTGTTATGTTCGTTCAGGCTGTTGACTGATAATGTCATCAATCTTCAGACGCAATCTGTTTTATCATGGGAGACAAGTGTCCATCAACTTCGGCATCAGTGAGGAGGCAAATTGTCTTATGGAAACACTTTTTGTGGGCTCAGATTTCTTACACTGTCCTACATACATTGTTCATTATGTTCTGTACTCTGACATATTGTAAGTCTGTTCCTTATTTTATACATTGCAGTGTGTGCACTGTGTTCAAGATTATTAATTTCATCTGCTTTATACATGGGTTCAAACCTCTTAATGATTTCTAATATCACCCACTGTCTTTTAAATAACAAAAAAGACTCTCGCCTAACAACTTAAGTTTTTGGGTTGAATTGGTTCTTTACAAAATCTTAATCTATATTTTAGTTGTTGATTTCCTTTTATATAATGGTTATAACTTATTTAGAATTAATTAATAATTAATTGATAGAACTCAAAATTATAAACATTATGAAAATCAACTATTGAGATGAGAATTAAGACTTCTTAATTTTAGGAGTCAAAAAATCCCTCCATGGAAAAACTTACAAGAGTTTACATCAGCCTTTGGATGTGCCCCTTCTATTTTCTAATAGACCTTAATCTGCTGGTCTGGTGACTTGGAGATGTTTGTTGACGAAACTTGAGGGTGATTAAGTTGTTTTAATCCATTTATGCTGTATTATATTCTTATTTATAGTCATATCATTTGCCCCTAATTTATATTTTTCTTTCTTTAATTGTTTAATTAGGAAGTGCGACGTAAGTAATTAGAAAAATCTTGGGGAGCTTGGACTCCCGGCCTCATCCCAGTTGCTAGAGGGGGAAAATTGGAGACGGGAGAGAATGTGGGTCTGGTTCCTCAGCAGAGCTCAAATAATTATAAGCTGCTTGAAAATTGATGATCAAAAGATATAAATATGTTGATTTTTATGGTTAATTTGAAAAAGAAAAACATACTTTTGTGGAAAAAAAAACGTAGTCCGCTGTTAGATAAGTGACTAATATTATGCAATATTTGGATTGCGTTCCTTTTTTTACTGATGTGATGGCAAAATCGCAAAGCCATAATCGACGAGTTCTTCTCTTGAGTTCCATAGCAGACCTAAAAGCACGTACAGCATGGTCAGTTTACAAGGGAATAACATCCCGTGTCACCGTGTGCATTCATCAACGTCTCCTATTTACTGGTTAAGCATTTCTTGAAAATGTTTTAGAAATATTCATCATTTCCAAATAATTAATAAAAAAGAAAAATGTGTCATTTTAAATAATACAAATTATCATATCATAGACACAAAAAGATGAAATCCACCCCTTTAAATTTTTTGTCTTTGTTTTTTTTCAGTAGTACCACATCTCCTCGTGTTTATAAAATGGCACACATTTTAAAATTATGTCATTTAAAATAACACATTTTTTCCTTAATAAAATCTTCCAAATCCAAGTGGATAAATCTTTCTATAATTTTATTTTTAATACAACAACAACAAGTATATCTCATCACACATAAGTATAAAATGGATATAATTATAATTTTTAATTTTATAGTTGCAGCTGTTGTCAAATACTCGTCAAATTTTGATTTATAGTTATAATCTTTTCTAGTTGCAGTTCTTCATTATTACCTTTTCTGTTTTCAGGAAACAAATAAGACAATATAAATTAGTGGAGCAGTGTCTACCAAAACATTACTTATAATAATATGCATTTATTAGACAATAAATTAAAAAATCAATAAGAATTATATCCATATAATATAATATTGTATAAGTTAAAGTTTTTATATACGAGTTTCATGTCACGTGTCACCGCTCTAATCATTTTTTTTTCGAAAAAAAGTTTATGTAATAAGTTATTTCTCTCATTTTTTTCAGCATTTAAATTTAATTATTTATTTGATATTAGTTATAATTGATTTTAATTCTGAAAATGAATAAAAATTAAATCATTCAATTAAATTTTTTCTCTTAATTCAATTAATTGAATAGTAATTTCAATTATGTTTTATTCGACAACTGAATAAAAAACAAATTGATTAAATTAATTGAACGAATCAATTAAAAAGAATTTATCTCAATTCAATTAGACTAATTTATTAAATTTAGTAATTAATCTTTGTTTATGTAATTTATTAAGAGAAGAGTTATATTGACAAACTTTTTTTGTTACAAACTTACAAATTTCACTATATCTTACTGGTAAGACTTTACTCGAGAGTGTCTTACCGATAAGACATAACGTAGTTTATAAGAGTTTGTAAATATAACATTTCTCATTTATTAAATATAAAAATAATTTAAAATAAAATTTAGTCAATCAAACAAATCCATCAAATATAGCAATTCCATTCAAAAATTGCAATTACTATTATATCAATTCAAAAATGATAAGAATATTCTTCCTACCAAAAACTCACTACCTCCATAATCACCATTGAATCAGCATTTTTTTCTCTCTTTAAATTTTTTTTAATATTCTCTCTCTTTAATCCAAAGGTGAATATAGAGGTAGTGAATATCTCCTCTCTTCAAAAAATTTCTAATTTTAAATTACAAATGATTAACTATAATAAGTTCTTCGTGGTATTTGTCATATATTAACGCTAAGTTTTGTCGTGGTACTTTCAAATGACAACAATAAAAACTCTCTATTTGAGATGTATTTCTTTCTTTCTCTCTTTTGTTGTTTGTTTAGATTTTTTAAACTAAAATTGAAAAAATAAAATGTTCTTCCAGATTATTTAAAATGTAATAATAAAAGCCGATCTCCTTCCACCAAAATATTAACACAATAAACATAAATAAATAGTGCAAAGAACAACAATTAATGAAAGAAAAAAGTTTAATTTATTTCCTTTTTATAAGTAATTTATTCTCCTTTAACTTAGACTTAAACACATTTTAATTTTTAAACTATTCAACGTGACTCCTAATTTTTTGAAGTATAAGTAATAATAATATATGAACATAATTTTGTCAAACCACTTTTGAATAATTTCTTTTTAAATAATATATAAAACAAGATAAGTATTCGGTTTTTTTTCCTACACAAGTACATATAACAAAAAAAAAGGGGGGGGGGGGGGGGGGGGGGGGGGGGGGGAATGATTAAGCTCAAAACATTTCTCATTTCAAATTCCAGCGAAAAGTTAACTTAACCAAAGAGATTAAAAGCCAAAGTTTCAGTGTGTGAAGACAACGTTACTCGTCAAATCTTATTCGTATCATAACTACAGAAAATGTAACATAGGAGGAATATTTATATGTGAAGTGAATCTTTATATTCATGAATCCACTTAGCTAGCTGTGAATCTATAGACCATGTAGTGCTTATATGTCTCACCAGGATGCACAATCTGAGATGGGAAATTTTGGCGATTCACAGAATCAGGGAAACCCTGTGTCTCCAAGGCAATGCCACCATACTTATGATAAATAGCTCCACCCTTACCTATGGTATCCTTCAACATGCCACTAGTATAGTATTGCACACCAGGTTGATTTGACCATAACTCTAGTTTCCTCCCAGAGACATTGTCTTTAACTATAGCAACCTTTCTAAAGTGTTCAGGGCTACCTTTATCAAGAACATAGTTTATGTCATATAGACCAGGAAGCTCATTAATTTGGCTACCTACTTCCTTTGGTTCAAGGAAATCATAAGGGGTACCCTTTACAGATTTGAGTTCACCGGTGGGGATAAGCTTATCATCCACTGGTGTGATCTGTGAGGCAAAAATCTGAACTATGTGCGAAAGAATGTCACCACTGTTATGGCCCCTTAAATTCCAGTAAGTATGCTGTGCTAGATTTACTGGGGTGGCTTTGTCTACTGGTGTGGCAATCATTTTCACACCCAATTTGTTTGTTCCCATGAGCATGTATGTCACAGAGACTTCAAGTTTTCCAGGGAAGCCTATAAAAAATTTTATTTAGAGAGAAAATTAAATAAAATATTAATGATAAACACACACACATACAACATTCAAATTATAATTAAACCTGTGTGGTTGAAGAGTGTACCTTGTTCATTATCAAAACTATCATAGGTGAATGTTATATGACTATCTTCCCTGTGGCTTTTTACTGTCCATACAACATCACTGAATCCTGAGGTGCCACCTGATATTTCATATGTACAAATTGTTTAAATTAACAGTTATAATTAATTCCATCAAGAATTTAATTAGAAAATGAAAGTGTACATAATCGAATGGTATATTATATATTTGTGTGTTTGTGGAATAGCAGGAACTGCAATTATCATTTGATTAATTAACGTACCGTGAAGTGTGTTCCCATTATCATTTGCAGGCAATTTATAGGTTTTGCCATGTAAAGTGAACTGAGCTTTTCCAATTCTATTTGCCACACGTCCAATTAGGCCTCCAAAGTAACATGTATCATTCTGCAGTAAATTTCAAGGCTATGATGAGTTTGAGAAATTATTGGTTTATTTTGAATTAGGCGATTGAATCACAAAAGAATTGAAGTATTATACCTTGTATGAATCCATTGAATCGTAGCCAAGTGTAATGTCAGCTAAATTCCCTGGAGAGACAAATGAGATAGAAAAGGTTTATGTGATTGTAGTTTAAATAGTATAAATTGTTGCAGGGACAATGACAGAGACAATGTTTATCAATTATGAGCTAAATTCCCTAAACCAATAAATGCACATAATTAAGAATATAAAACACACCATTTTTATCAGGGACAATGACAGAGATAATTGTTGCACCATAGTTTGTCAAATTTAGCTTCATATTCCCTCTCTTGAGTTCATAAAACCCAATTTTCTTATCATTTTCATGTGCCTGAGCAAGGAGCACAAGCCCAAGGAAAAAAGACGAAACCAGGTATGCCTTAAACATCATAGAAAGGAATTTTCAATAATAACTATCTAGTTTTTTGGGGAAAAGCTCTAACCATGGATTATATATATAGAGAGAGGGAGAGAGGGAGAGAGAGAGAAAATAAAACAAAGAGATAAGAACAAAATTCTTGTTTAAAAAAATCTTCATTTTAGGATAGAGTTTATGTAATAAGATTCTAGGTTCTAGCCTCTTTAAGTTGTTGACGATTCTGTCAGCGTTAGGATAATATTGGCTAGCTCCTATCAAATTGCTTCTAAAATAGTAAAATGGTGAAAGACCTTCAAAATCCATTTATTTAGCCAACTTTGGCATTTAAATGAAAATTGTCGATGCATACGTGTGTAATATGAAATATAGTCTAACGGTGAACAGAGTTGTGAGTTGTCACATCGCTGTAATTCATAGTATTACCTCTTTTCCTTTTGAAATACTTGATTTGGATGATTTTTTTCCCAAATAGCACGGTTTTGATCCATTTTCCCGGTGATTTCCCCATTCTGAGATCACAACCTGTATCAGAAAAACAGTGAACCCAATTTCTAAATTGATCCCCCTGATAATTCTTTCATACGGTTAAATAAGAAAGTAAATAAACATAACAAAAACCCAATTTCATTTTTTGTTTTGATTTAATTCTTCTTTTCTTATTTATAGCTTCACCTTTCCACCACTATTTGACTTTCTTTGTATTTTTTCTCTCGAGATAATTTTTTATTTATCTTTCTTCCTTTTCCATTCATAATTAATTTCATACATCAATGTATCCTTGCTTTCCTGTAAATAGTAATATTAGGTGCCCCTTACACACATTTGCCAACGGGAGATTCGGTTATTGTGATAAAGATTTTAGGCTTTTAGCCCATGTTCAAGGCCTATTTCGTAGTGTGTTTTCGGGCCTTTTCTTTTTAAGTCACATTTTTTGGGCTGTGCACTGATTGTCGTACACAGCACATGCACATGTCCACACGCCTATTTCTCTCGGTGCTCGATGCTCGATGCTCACTATTCAGGGAAGTCATTATGCATGTGTTACGTGATTCTCAAGCATATGAGGATGAGGAGGACCCAAAAGGTGTGACCTGTGGGTGTTTCCTGAATGTTAATGATTAGCTGAGATTCAAGGAGGTAGCATGTGAATCATGTCAGGTCCATAACCTTTAAAGGAGATGAGGCCACACACAAAACAACATTTGATGATTTATTCGGCATGGATGATAATGCTAACTCTTTATAATGGGTGAAATTTTTGAAGGAAGAACGATTTTATTAATGTTGGCAGCGTTGGATCCCATATGGTAATGGGCTCCACCATATCTGTGCACTCACTATTAATTGTGTCTAAATAGTTGGCAAGTCATGTGCCATTGTACCTAAACGTCATTTGATTGCTGACCTGAAGAATTTTATTTGTTTAGTCTTCAATCGGAACGGTTGTAACCAATTACTGATAATGATAAGCAATCTTACGTGCCTTTCTCATGAATGAGACTCTCTGCCTTCGCTGAGATGTTAATCCTACCAAAAAAGGAATTTTAATTTTGAAAAATAATAATTTTATGGTTAAAATAGCATATCATAAAGAATACAAATAAGCAGTTGATGTAATTAATTAGTTGAGTAAGCCTTTATTCACATTTTTTTTTTCTTTGACATACCAAATAGAATAAATTTCATTTATGATTGAAAACGATGGCACCACCATATTTCTTAGAAACTTTAAACCCCCGACATTTCCAACAAAAGTATTGCATCCTTATCTTAATATAAGCTCCGTTTGGAACGGTACTAGAAATTCATCATCAGTAACCTGCATCCGAAAAAATTGTAAAAAATAGTAAAGCAGTTTGATCAATCAGAGATACTGTGATGTCGCGTTTGTCCTCACGATGATAAATTTATAGGGGTCTTTTAATGGGTTGATGGACCATTTTTTTTTTAAAAAAAAATCTATAAAGAGGGTTTTTTTTCTTTAATAAACAAAATTTTAGATTAGAAGATGGCTATAAGATTTGGGAATATTACCAATTTTATTGAGGAAGTAAAATAAATTATATATCGCCTATTAAAAATAAAATCAATAATCAAACTCAAATCACAATTAGAGAAAAGAAAAATTCAACCATTATGTCAACATAATTTAAATTTTATTTAGAGTCGTATTAAATGTGACTTGTGTATAAGGAGCAACTTACCAATGTGGACTCATTGATTTTGATAAAAGAATATAGATTGTGTAAATAACATATTTTTTAAAAATCGTTTTGTACACAAAGTTCGAAAGTGTCCCTCCTTCTTTGGCATCAACATGTGATGGATAATAATTAATAAGTTCTGACATTTTCTCTTTTCTATTTTTAAGTAAATGAAAAAATATTTTTGATTTCTTTAGTAAATGAATTAGGCGACTGGAATACTGTTTTATAAGAGAGGGAGAAAGAGAACAAAGAAAAAAATGTGTGTGGTGATGGTTGCTGGACGAGGAAAGAAAATTTCAAAAATGATTATAATAAAATTATTAAAATAAGTAAAAAATATTTATTTTTTTAAAGAATAATCGTTTTAATTAAAATTATTATTATTTATTTAATATTTAAAAAAATTCACTTTCTTCCATTATAATTCTTATTTTTCTAATTATAAAATTAATAATTTTGATTAAAATAATACAAATTCTATATATTTGAAAAACACTTCAGGATTTTTTTTCTGACGCAACATGCCGCTTTCTATCTCCAACCAGGCTTGACCTTTTCAACCACATCTGCAAGAGTCAAGACCGAAGAAATCTCCAACCATGTTGCTTTTCCAACTACTCTGATGTACTTTAAGGTGGGGCACGACATGAGACCTAAACGTACTGTGTGAATTCTCTATTGAACTTGAGCCTCAACACATCCCCCCACCCCCCCCCCCCCCTTCCTTTTTTTCCTTTTTCTTTTTTTTTTTTGGTCCAAGGTAGCTATCCTTTTCTATTTTTTTTTAATTATAATACTTTTAGGGAGCGTTTCGTTAAGGAGAAATTTTTTGAATATTAGAGAAATGTAATTATTAGGAAAATAGTTGGAAAGTGAGTTTGATAGGAAAATGTAAGAAAAAAATTTAGTTAGAAGAAATATTACCGGATAAATTGATTAAAGTTTTGTAAGTCTATATTTGGTTGAGTGTAAAATATTGATGAGAAAATGATATAAAATGACAAAAATAATCCTTTTTAAATTTTGAAAATTGACATAGCAGCAAAGAAGTAAAAAATATCGGGAGAGTGACCATTTTGCCACACTTGGCAAAAAAATTAACAGACTGTCACGCCAACAGTAAATTTTGCCAAAATGCCACGCTGCACCCTTAGCCGTCGTTGAAGAAGTCTGAAAATATAACTAATTTGCATTATCTTATCTTAACTCTTAATTATTTTCATACTTCTTCAACGACGGCTAAGGGTGCAGCGTGGCATTTTGGCAAAATTTACTGTTGGCGTGGTAGTCTGGTAAATTTTTTCGCCAAGTGTGACAAAATGGTCACTCTTCCAAAAATATCAATAGCTTATATAACTATAAAGTGACAAAAGTGGTAAAGAAGAGTAATGACAGTTCTCTATGTCGGGAAAAACAAGAACTAGTAGGAATAACTTCTAATTCTTTCAATTGAAAAGAGGGTATTTTTGTCTCATCTCATCCTCTATTTTGTATTTTGCCTGCTATTATCAAATATCATGTTAGAAGTAGATATGTTGAACAGTGCTTTTCATCCATTTTTCCACACAATTATGAAATGTTGGGAACCAAGTTAGCTAGGAAAATTTTGTATTTTTTTACCAAATATGGACAACACAAAAACCCAATCTAATATGCCTAGGTATCCTCACAAAAAGCTCCAACCAAATACCACCTTATAAATATTATTCGGATATTGACTTTTCAAATATTATAGCGTTAGAATTTTTTTATATTATTATATACAAATAATTTTAATTGTCTTTATGTAATAAATTTTAATTATCTTTATAAAGATATAATTATTTACAATCACATTTAATACTTATTAATTAATTGGATTTTAAAAAAAAAGATAAATACATAAATATATTTAGTATATAAACCTTACAAGCAGCATGTATGTGACTGAATTTCCTTAAAACAGCCATCTTATAAATTTTTTAAAGACCACATAACTCTAAGATACTACTAAAATTTGTTGTTGGTGCTAGTAAAACTCAGATACATTTCATAAGTCATAACACTAATTTCATATCCACATTTTATTTTTTTGGGCTATTTATGAGTACATCAATATTTTTATAGAAAATAACCCGTAATTTATAAAAGTTAAGAATTGCATCTCAGAAATTCATACAGTCAGTATATATTAACATTAGAATACTTGGGGTGAATTTAGAAAATATACCTGGCTTTACCATAAATTAATTATTTAAAAAATTTAATTTATTAAATGAATACATAAATAATATTATTACGGGCATATTTGAACATTTGTTTTCTAAGTTTAAAGCTAAAAAAAAAAAAAAAAGTTTTAATATAAAATTTACTTTAAGGCTCAAGGTAAACATAAGTTGTTTGGTAAAATAATTTTCATAATCTTGTTTCTAATTAAAATTATAAAAAATCTCTATTATTTAGATAAATACAATGCGATAAGAAATAAAAGACAAAAGATTTTAAAGGAAAAATATATCTAAGAATGAACAAATACAATTTATTCATTATTCTTTGTAACGTTCTCAGTATTTTGGAAGGGAAGAAGAGATCAAACAATCTCTCATTATGATAGAGAGTAAACTATATAAATATAATTTTAGAATAATTACATAATTGAAAATAAAAATTATATTCATTAGAAAAAATTGACTTACATCTTAAAAAAAATCCAGAACTTAAATTTTTTCTTATAAAAAAATATGATAAAATCTTTTGTAAGATTATGTTTGGCCAAACTTTTTCTTATAAGTAGTAGATAAATTATAAAAAAAAGGGTCAAAC